CCAATACGAGGGCTTGAACTCAAACCCTCATATCCATGGCTGGTGCTCTACTGCTTGAGCCACATCTCTAGTACAGCGTTTTCCCCCCTGGTTCACCGGACATAGTCTTGCAGACTTTTGTGCTTAGGCTGGCTTTGAACTTGCATCCTCAGATCGCAGCCTCGTGAGTAGCTAGGATTACAGGTGTGAGCCACTGGCACCTGGTGGATTGATTCACGCCCCTGGCCTCTGTCCGCGTCACCGTCACTGATTCCTCCTGTGAGGACCCACAGCTGACTCCTAGAATGTGGAGGGCAGAAGGGACCCAGGGGACCCTCAGCATGCGACCTCCCTGGGGCAGGAATCTGTGCCCAGCCAGCTTCAAGCGTGGCCTCTGTGGGAAGCTCAAAGGCCCGACAGTGTGCCCAGCTCCCCATGGGCCTGTGTGGACAGTTCCTATGCCTCAGTAGTTTTAGAAAGCAGGCTGGCCATGGGGCTCATCATGGCTTCTCATCCCTGCTCTCTTGAGCCCACCCCGGGGTCTCTTCCAAGCCTCCATTCCAGGACTTTCTCCAAGTATGCACTACACTGACTACCACAGTCTAGAACAGAAAAAAATCTCTGATGCAACAGGTGCTTTAGTGCTGATTTTGCTGGAAAATCCTGGGCCCTGAATTAACTACAAGCAAGAGGTAAGCTTGGCAACCCCGCCGCCATTTTGGGTGTGTCTCTGCTCTACGCCCATCTCTCTGTGATCTTTTTGAAATCAGGGATGGATATCATCTTCGTGGGGGCTGATACCATCCCAATGCAGCGATACAGCCTCCTAGGAGTATGGGCCAGGTCCAGATGATGTGTTGGAGTTCACATCTGTACCCCAAAGATGGCTGAAGATGGGCTGAAGTACCATCTTCCCATGGCTGCCATGAGATAAATTTCCCGGCTTCACAGATACAGTCGATTTTATTTTGTTTTGTTTTATTTTTTTTTGGGGGGGGGGGAGTATCATTAAAAGTCACCTTGTTAAAGCAGAGTGTGGTGATGTAACACCTGTAAGCCTAGCTACTCAGGAGGCAGAGACAGGAAGATCTCCAATTGGAGGCCTGCCTGGGCTGGCCTGTGAGATCCTGTCTCAGAAACAAATTGCACAAACATAAAGGCTGGGGGCATGGCTCAACTGGTAGAGCGCCATCCTCCAGGAATGCTATGTGCTGCCAGGAGGGGACCAGGCTGCCACAGCTCCCAGTGGCATTCACAAGGCTGAGTTTGCTCAGGAGACAGGGAGGGAGTCATAGCAGTATCACTTGGAGCTTGGCCATCATTTCTCATCAAGTTACCAGCAAGAGCAGATCAAGGACTGGTTGAGTGCAAGTCAAACCTCCTGGGTGGCCTGGAGATACCGGCTCCTAGGTGCCAACGACTCCCATGGCTTACTAGGGCCACAGGGGTCTATCAAGCCCTCTGAGCTTCCCAATCACAGCAGCTAGGCCATCCTGCCAAGACTTGGGAGATGTCATCTCTTCACTCAAACCCTGCTACAGGCCAAGCACTGGTGCAATCCTAGCTACTCAAGAGGCTGAGCTCTAAGGACCGAGCTTCCAAGTCAATCCCGGCAGACAAATCGGAGGGATTCTTAGGCCCAACTAACCAGCAAAAAGCTAGAAGTGGAGTTGTGGTTCAAATGGTAGAGCACCAGCCTTGAGAGAAAAGCTAAGGGAGGATATTCAGGCCCTGAGTTCAAGCCCCAGTCCTGGGTCAAACTGAACCAAACCAAACCAATCAAATAACAAACTTCCATGGCTTCCACTTTCACTTGGAGTCAAAGCCAAAGCCAATTCTGGATATGGGGGGCCCACAGCCCTGACTTAACCACCCACCTACTGCTCCACCCTGTGGCTGCTTTGAGGTCCCCAAATACTCAGGCACAATCTCTCTTGGAAACCCTGGTTCCTTTCCTCTGTCCAGAGCGCTACCCACTCCCTTCCCATCATGCTCTCTTTTCATTCAGACTTTCCTCAGTGTCCCCTTCTCAGTGTGACCTTCACTGTCACTGTCCCTGGAAATCCAGACCTTCCCACCTCCGTTCCCCTTGCCCAGTCCGCTTTTCCTTAGCGCTTAACAGTAATCCAACCCATTGTTGTGTTTATCTCCCTTACACACACACACACACACACACACACACACACACACACCAGCTTTAGCACACAATAGGTACAGAAGCACATAGTAGGTGTGCAGGAAATGTATCCAGCACCTAATAGGTGTGCAGTAAATGTATCCAGCGTATGAAGGAGTGAATGGCTGCCTAAGTCCCCACCAACCACTTGCTGTTCTGGTTCTCTAGCTCCCCTTGGGTGATCCAATATGTCATGGTCCCTGTGTCCTTCACCCACCGGGGTAGGAGTGTTTGTGGTCACCCTTGGAATTCTGGGTGTGGGTGTGTCCCTTATTTGGGGGCCAGCCACGTTGCCTGCAGCTCCCTACCTGCTATGAATAGTGCCAAGTCTCATTTTATTCAAGGACCTTTCGAGAAACTGGGCCATCTGCCTCTCTTGAGTCTCTGAGATTCTGATACTCCTTCTTTTTAAGGTTTTCCCCTCCAGATCCAATCCTGCTCAGTCGGCAGGAGGGGGGCGGGGAGGAGGCTAAGGCCTAGCCTCTACTTCCACAGTGCCTGTGTGAGTGGGAAGGGGCAAAGGGAGGGGGGCTTTGTGGTCCCACACAGCCAACCGCCTCACACTTCAGGCTGCTGTGACCCTGCATCCTCCTCAGCACCCCGGGACCACCTCCAGTCCCCTAACATTTGGCCCTTTGTCTTCAAGCCCATAGGGCCCCCAAAACGCTGTTGGCTGGCCTAGAAAGGGGGTGGGGGGGGGAGGAAGAGGAAACTTCAGAAGTCCAAGTACTGGCACCAGCTTAAGTAGACTAGGACCTGGGTTCTAATCCCCCTACAGTGACAAAAAGAGAAAGGCTCCAGTAATTGGCTAATGGAACCCTGGTGATCATCCTTTTGGGGTCTGTGGAAGTTTCTAGGCCCCTGTGGATCATTTTTTGGGGGGAGGGGGGAGAGGGAGGAGTGGGGAGAAGACTCAGCCATCAAGGTAAAGCATATTTCTAATTGCTCTAGAAGAGGGTGCTTTTCTTCTTGTCAGGTGGGCAGGGGCTCTCAGGCCAAAACTGTGTGCTGTCTTACACACACACACACACACACACACACACACACACACACACACACACACACACACACACTGCCATCAACTCAGTATTAACAGTCGGTCAAGTTTTTCCAGATTGGCTCAGCCTTCCTGATAAGCCTACTTGAGCCAGTCATAAGAACAGAGAAAAAGCCTCAGGACTGGAGCCAAATGAAAGATTCAGAACGAAGGTTCTAAGAGATCCAGACAGCTCAGGAACCACACACAGCTATCCCGAACAACCCTGTCCCCAAGGATTCCCCCCCCCTCCTTCCTGGTCTTCTCCCTCCCACAGTCCTGCACAAAGGGTTTTGGAAGCTTTCCATAGAGAAAATAGAGAAAATGCCGGAGACCAAGTTTCTTCCCGTTCCTCGGTAAGTCCAAGGGTTAAAAACAGTTCCCAACTCCCCTTCCAACTGCAAGGTCAAACAGCTGTCCAAAACCACCCAAGGAGCCGCGGGAGTCCTGGACAGCTGAGCGCCACGGCCCCCCCCCCCCCCAGTGTAGCCCTCAGGCCAGGGAGGGAAGAGTTAAACAGCCATCAGCTTTGGCTGATAGTTCAAACTCCAAAGTTCACGCTCAGTCCCAGCCACCCCGAAGGAATTGTAAATCTCAGGGCAGTATTTAACACAACAAAAGCAACCTGGAAAGAGACGCAGGTTTGGTTTTCAACAGTACATATTTACTTAATCCCCGAGGTATGTGGCTCCACGTCAGATCAGCTGGCTTGGCTGGTCCTTTCAACAATCCCACTGCCCCCCCCCCCCCCCACCACAGTTTAAATTTCAAACTAATTCTCTGTTTTCACTCTTCCTCTTCACTCGGCCAGCCCGGCCTGTTGGCCTCAAATCCCTCTCAATTGCCCTGTCACTGGGTGAGTCAGTCCGGCCTGAGTTGGGAGCTGGGTGACAGGGGGGGGGAACACCCTCCCCATTCTCCCCCCCCCCCTCCCCACACTCTGGTACCAGGTCTCCAAGCGAGGTTGAGCACCATTAAAAGAAAAAAAGTGCAGGGCAAGCCGGGCACAGTGGCTCACAGTTGTGATCTTGGCTACTCAGGAGGCTGAGTGAGATCTAAGGATTATACTTTAAAGCCAGACAAGCCCGGAGAACCCTAGAGACCCTTCTCTCCCCCAAGGAACCACCAAAAAGCCAGCAATGAAGTGCTGGTGCTGGCTCAAGTGGTAGAGCACCAGCCTTCTGCAAAGAGGCTAAGCAAGAGCATGAAGCAGTGAGTTCAAACCCAGTGCTGGCATGTATGGGTGCATGCTCTCTCTCTCTTTCACACACACACACACACACACACACACACACACACACACACACACACACACACACACACACACAGAATGACGGGCAGTGGCCCAGGGTCGTTAGGGGTGAAGGGTTCTGGCTTACCCTAGCCCTTCCTCCCCCTCAGATTTCCAAACACCTGGGCTTCTCTCAGCTCTCTCAGGCCGGGCTAGACCATGCAAGACTCCACCCCCTTTTTCCTTTGCAATCCCCCCTTCCCTTCCACAGCCTGCACCCCCATCTCCAGTGTCCTCAGAGCTGCAGCCGCCCAGGTTGGGGGCTGAGAAGCCGGTTGCCAAGGAAAACACCGGGCGCGGCTAGCAGGCGGCTCCCGGCTCTGCCCAGGGGCGCGCGCGAAGAGGTGGTGAAGCGAGGCGGGGTGGGGGTGCAGGGATGGGGGCGCCCCACACCTTCCTCACAGCCAGGGGCGCCCCTCCCCCCCGCGTGGCGAGGAGAGGGGGGTTCCCCTTGACCCCCCCGGCGTCCCCGTACCGCCTCCCCCCTCACCCCCCCCCCCATACCCGCGACCTCGTACCTTTCTCGCGCCGCGCTCCGCGAACTCGCGGGCGAGCTGGCGCCCGATGCCTCGCCCACCGCCGGTGATAAGCACGTTCTCCCGCGACAGGTCCCGCAGCCTGGCGGGCAGCAGCGAGCCCACGGCCGCTTTGGCCACCAGGTAGATGAGCTGCAGGGGGAAGGCCACCAGCGCGCCCAGCCAGCGCCACACCATCCTGCCCCGCGCGCGCGGGGCCGGGCAGGGGCCGGCGCGGGGCGGCGATGGCACCCACTCCCCGGGGCCCGAACAAAACCGGAACGGAACGCTGCTCGGAGCGGGGTGTGGGGTGGGGATAATAAACCCAAAGCGCCGGGCTGGTGATCGGGGCGGAGAGGGTGGGGATTCGAACAAGAAGTTTCTTGCCCGGGCAGCCGCGTCTCGGGCGTGGGACGCTCAGGTACTGTTTACCGGACCAGGAGAGTTCAGGCTGGGGAGGAGAGAGGGGGAGGGAAAAAGAAAAGGCTCCAACCGCGCGCGCCCCGCGGGTCCGAAGTGCAAGACCGAAAAAACAGACACCCGCCGACGCGAGCGGAGCGTCTTCCCCCGCCACCCCGCCCACCCCGGCTCTCCGGGGTGGGGAAAAACCAAACCCAACAACAAAGTAGGGGATCAAAGTGCGGGGCGCTCCCGAGCTTCAGCCCGCGAAGGGCTCCCGAGGGCGCATGGCGACCCCTGGGCTCAGGAAACTGCCGAGACGCGAGCGGCGGGGCGGCGGCGCGGGCGGGCGAGGCGGGGGTCCCAGGGGCCGCGGGCGCCGGGTCCCGGGCCGGTTCGGAACGCGCGCGCTCGCTCTCTCCCGGCTCCCCCTCCTCCGCGCTCTCGCTTCCAGCCCCGCGCTGGGAGTCGCCGCTCGATCCCGGCTCCCCTCGTCCGTCCTCTCTCCCTTTTAGCATCTACTGCCTGCGATCCGCCCTTTCCAACTTGGACAGGGCCCCGGGGCGCAGCACGCGTGGAGCGGACGCCTGGGTCTGCGGCCGCCTCAATCCTTCGCTCCCCCGGGCAGCTGCGGCGCGCAGCGAGCGGGCACCCTCCCCCCTCCCTCCTTCCTTCCCCTCCCCTCCCCTCCCTCCTCCCCTCCCTCTCCTTCCCTCCTCCCCTCCACCTCCCTCCCCCCCATTTTTTAATACCCCATTAAGTCTGATTGACAGTTAAAGTTGTTGGGAGGCTTCCCTCCCGTGTCTCTGAGTGGCTGCGGCCGCCTCCCCCCTCCTCCCCTCCCTCCCTGCCCCCCCCCCCCCGCCGCGCCGTCGCGGGCCGCGCGCCTGGGGCGCGCACCCGGGCCCGCCGCCACCCGCGCTCGCTGCTCGCTGCAAGCCGGGACTTGTGGCTGGTGTCCCTGCGGGCCAGCAGCTGGAACCCGAACGTGCTGGAACCGACTCCGGCGAGCCAGCTCCCTCCCGGAGACATTCCTCCCAGCCCGGGCCAGGTGACCAGCCCTGCTGACCAGGGACCCGGCCCGGGGGCGGGCGCCAGCACGCCGGGAACCGACCGGGTCGCCGGGGGTCTACTCCAGGTCACTTGGTCTCCACCCCCGCCGTGTCCCCCGGTGGGACCGGGAAGCCACGCCCCACCCCCGCCTCTAAGTCCCATCCACGATTCCCCACTGTCGGGGGGCGGGGGTGAAACTTGCGCCTGGTGCCGGCCAGCGCCACCGACCACGAGCCGGGAGCCCCGGCACCGCGCACCGGCGCTGCGCCTTCCTGAAGGACAAACGCCGGCAGGGTCCCCCCACTTTCTGGGTCTCTCCTGTCGGGGATCCCCCCCCCAGGCCGCGCGGCCAGCAGCCGTGGTCTCCGCGGGAGTCGGAACCGCGCTGGCGCGGGGTGTCTGCGGTCGGGGAGGTGAGTCACCCCGAGCAGTAGCCCCGGTTAGCAGTGCTGACGGGACCGGCCTCCTCCGAACACCTACGGGCGGGCGCCTGGGGTTGTGCCCCGGAGTCCGGCGCGGCCCTTCCCAGCCCCAGACTTGTCCAGACTGGGCGCCGCGGGCCGCGCTCGGCCCCGGGACGGACCCGGCGGCCGGGGCGCTCCGAGGCGGTAGTTTGAACGTCAGCGTGGGTGAGGTATGCAGATCGAGGGGGCGTGGCCGGGGCGTGGCCAGGCCGGGCGGGGCGGGGCTGGCGAAACGGCCTTCTCACCTGCTGAGACGCTGCGTTCCCCCCACAGGTGAGGATCCTTCCTTCTGGGCCATGCGATCCGAGCCACTGGAAAAGCCAAGCGGGTGGAGAGAGGGTGAGGAAGGAGCTTTAATGACCTTGAGGGCTCCCTCCATCCGCTTTGCAGGTTACCAGTGGCCAGAAAGTGGGGATCCACTCCAGGTCTACTCTTCTTTCCACTGGACTCAGCTCTGGCAGGGAGGACGGCCCTGGGCCAGACCCTTGTCCTGCTTGGCTCCCAGGACATGGCCAACACAATCGGACTCCCGCACAGTGACAGCCACTGCCCATCAAACGGGACCAGAATTTCAGCCTGACTGAACCAGGCCTCGGACCTGCGTCTGCGTGTGTGTGTGTGTGTGTGGGGGGGGGGGGTGCTGTCCCCCAGCTCCTTGTATGCTAGTATGCTATCTTTGCTTATCTGTTATCCTTGAGGCCACTTAGTGGTCACGACGGGGTACTGCACCTCCAGCTGCCTCAGTCTCTAGCAGAGAGACCCTAACTGGATGTACTTTCTCCCCTTAAGGTTAACAACCCCAAGTATAAACCCCCTCCCCTCTGTTTTATGGCAGAGGACCACACACACACACGTACATACACGTACACGTAAAGGCATCCAACGATGTACACGACCAGAGTGTGTTCCCTGATCAGCAATCGCTCAGATGCCAAACGAGTGGCCCCACTTTGGGAGATCCCAAAAGGAATAGATAGATGCAGAGGTCCATCCTCAGGAGCTGTCACCTCCTCTCTTGCTTTTCCCCATCCAAGTCAGCTGGACCCGAAGACCCAAGAGGACTGGGGTCTGGAGGGACACAGCTCAGCAGGCCCAGGCTGGTCCTGAGTGTCCTCATGGCCTGGTTTCAGAGAGAGCTGCTCGGGACCCTCCCCTGATGGTTTCTCCTTGGTACCTTCCTCTCTGTTTCCTTGGGGCAGGAGGTGAGCAATCCAACTCCAGGGGTGAAGTTTGGGATTTCACCTCCCAGGCCTAGGTGGAGGGCCTCACTCTTTTTTTTTTTTTTTTTTTTTTAATTTGCCCCTGAGGAAGTGAAAGGAGCCTTTGTAGACTTGGTGGGTGAGGTGCGTGCTGCAGCCTGTAGGACTAACTTTTTCCATAACCCAGCCCTGCCCACACCAGCACAGCCAGGGAGGTGTGAGCAGGGCCAGCTGGGAGCCTAGTGGCCCAGCTGCCTTCCCCAGCCCTTGGTGAGTAGACACAGCTAGGCTTAGGGTTAGACATGGGCTGCCTAAAGAGCTGGCTCTGCTTTAAAGTCAATTTTATCCCTCCCTTCCCTTGCTCCCCAATACTGGGGATTGAACCTAGTGCCTCTGTGTGCTAGGCAAGCACTCTACCACCTCAGCCAGCGCTTTCAGCCCTTGTGTTTTTGAGACAAGGTCTCCTTATGTTTGTCCTGTCTAGTTCCTATCTCAAGACCTCTCTTTTCCGCCTCCTGAGTCATGAGATGAACAGTTTGCTTTGTACTCTGGTGTCCAGAGGCCAACATTATCTTGGTCTGGAACTTCCCAACCTGCAAACTAAAATGCACCTTTTCTCTCCATAAGCTACTTGCTTCAATTGTTTTGTTAGGCTAACAGAAAGCTGACTAAAATAAAAACTTCTATTTCCAGGGCACTATTTTTTTTTTTTATTGTCAGCCATGGGGCTTGAACTCTGGGACTGGGCTCTGTCCCTCAGTTCTTCAGCTCAAGGCGAGCACTCTACCACTTAAGCCACAGCACTACTTTTGATTTTCAGATGGTTAATTGTAGATAAAAGTCTTATGGACTTTCCTGCCCGGGCTGGCTTTGAACTGCAATCCTCAGATCTAAGCCTCCTGAGTGGCTAAGATTACAGGCATGAGCTACTGTCTTCCAGCACTAACATTTTTTTTTTTTTAAAGAGAGACAAGAGCCCGGCACTGGTGGCTCATGACTGTAATCCTAGCTACTCAGCAGGCTGAGATCTAAGGATCACGCTTCAAAGCCAGCCTGGGCAGGAAACTCTGTGAGACTCTTCAATAAAATATTAGAAAACCGGAAGTGGCGCTGTAGCACAAGGGGTAGAGTGCTTGCCTTGAGCTGAAGAGCTGAGAGACAGTGCTCAGGCCCAGAGTTCAGGCCCCATGACCAACCAAAAAGAAAAAAGAAGAGACCCAGGTCCCTGAATCTTTAAAGCTTTAAAGGCACAGCCCAGTAACTTAAGGCCTCCCAGTAAGCCCTAGCTCTTAATGGCACCATCACTCTCTGACCCCCAATAATGCCACCTTGGAGACAGAGCCTTTACCACACGGGCCTTTGAACTGCTCCATGTCCGTGGGGAGGGAGGTGAAGCAACTTCATCAAGATCATAGAGCTTGGAGAAGGGCCAGATACAGAATTACAAGGTAACTCAGTTTTGCCTGGAAGCTCACCATCTTGGCTTCGGCCTCTGCTCCCCACTCCTGGAACTTTGTCTGCCAATGTCTCTCCCTAGGTAACAAACATCCATGTGCATGCTGCATGCACACACACATACCTGTTCATGATACACCCCTCTGCATACAGAAAGCAATGGGAAGGACAGTCATAAGCACCCCTATTTCTGGATGTGAATATTCTGACTGCTGTCCTTTGTGTGTGTGCGTGCGTGCATGCATGCGTATGTGCGTGCATGCCAGTATTGCAGCTTGAACTCAGGGCCTGGATGCTTTCCCTTAAAATTTTCATGCAAGGTTAGCACTTTACCATTTGAGCCACAGTTCCACTTCCGGTTGTTTGGTGATTAATTGGAGATAAAAGTCTCCTGGACAGGCTTTGAATCATGATCCTCAGCCTCTTGCATGGCTAGGATGACAGGAATGAGCCACTGGTACCCACTTACCAGTCCCTATGTTTTTTACTAGCATTTTGTTAGGAAGTCATTTCACTCAGTGACCTTTCTTCTTTTTCTTTCTTTCTTTCTTTTTTTTTTAAAGTGGGCTGTTTCAGAACCAGTAGGACCAGAAGTCCTTGTGTAAGACCACAGATTTCCTATGAGGTCTCTGAAAGGCTCCTAAAAAACAGAGACGGAGCCAGGACCTCTGCCTCTTGGAATCACCTAATCCATCCTATAATACCATGATTTGTAGGAAAGTTCTGTGCATAAATCCCATAAAATCCCATAATGTGGAGCTGACATTGAGCTTGCCCAGAACTAAATCTGCTTTAAAAAAAAAAAAAGAAAGAAAGAAAGAAAGACTGCTTGCCAGGAGTTTGCAGAAAACCATCAGCCATGTTGCAACCCCATGCGTCTCGCCTGCCCGACGCCTTTCAAAGAAGGCCTCTTTTCTTTCTTTTTTTTTTTTTTTGGGTCCGGTCATGGGACCTGCACTCTGGGCCTGGGCGCTGTCCCTCAGCTCTTCAGCTCAAGGCTAGCGCTCTACCACTTGAGCCACAGCGCCACTTCTGGCTTTTTTCTCTTTGCTTATGTGGTGCTGAGGAATCGAACCCAGGGCCTCTGGCTTGCAAGGCAAGCGCTCTACCACTGAGCCACCTTCCCAGCCCAGGAAGGCCTCTTTTCATGTGTGTATAAAAACATTGTCCTGTTGGGTCTCTCCTTCATCCTGGTTGAACAATGGATGTCTGTGAGGCTGGAAGAGGCTGAGGTCTACTTTGGGATTCAGGGACCCAGAGAAACAACAGGAGAATCAGGGATGGTTACTTCAATGCCCACAATGCCCTGCTTCCCACAATGCCCTGCTTCCCACAATGCCCTGCTCCCTACAATGCCCTGCTTCCCACAATGCCCTGCTTTCCATGATGCCCTACTCCTTATGATGTCCTGCTTCCCATGATGCCCTGCTCCCTACAATGCCCTGCTTCCCACAATGCCCTGTATCACTAGGGGATTGGAC